AATGCACACACACACACACACGCACGTAAATAATTACAGGCAGACAGAGACAGACAGCCATGCAGGCAGGCAGGCAGGCAGGCAGGCAGGCAGGCACGCAGACAGACAGACAGACATGCACACATACATGTGTGTGACGCATGCTTGCACAGATGGACCATGATTTCGATATTGACAGATGCAGGAATCAGTAAATCTTCGTGTTGAATCAGGCCAGACCGTTTTTTGGTGGCAAAGCAAAGTTTCACAGTTCAGCCACCTCACGAACATGTGGAAAGGTGACTGTCTGTACAGCATGGAGGCATGGTGTACAGCATCATGTAGACAGGGTTGGATATTTCGGCGCGATGATTAGGAGAAGCATCGACGGCTCGTGCAAAAGCACCTGCCCGGCGGCTCACCTGTGATGCTTGTTCGCGGGGAGCAGGACGGCTCGCCAATACGAGCCATTTATTTGCCGCATGGATCGCTTGACGGCATTGCTTCAAAAATTGCCTGCCAGATCCAAAACGTTAGAAGTTTGCCGGCACAATGCAAGCACCCGTCATGCATGCCCGAGGCCGAGCGATGAACGCTTGGAGGAGAGTGGCGAAGACCGACGCAGCGTCTCTGGCCTTGGTGGCGCTGACAGAGATGCTCCCGGCGTCAAAAGGGTGCATCCCGGTGCATGGCAGTCACCTGATTCGGGATAGACAGGCCCTCATTGGAGGCAGTTTCGAGCATATTCGAAGCCTGTCCTTGTGCGTGGCATGAGAATTTGAAAGCACGTCTGAGACGTCTACAGGGTATCGCCGCAAGTATTGCAGCCATGTGGATCTTCGTTCTTCGGCGTCGGCTTCCTATCATGCAAAATCGTACAAGCCAACAGCATTTCTAGCTGCCGTAGTCATGGATAGAAGTCCCGCCCCTGGATACGGCTGACATGTGCAGCATCATGTGCGTTTGGAGGAGGAGGGGACGCGGATCCGTCAGGCCTACGTGCATCCATTGCTGCATCAACGTGCGTACAACTTTTCGGGGACCTGCCGAGAGAAGCTCCACCAGCCCACTAATTCAGCCAGGCCACATGTCTCGCAGCTACAGTGGCCGACTACAAGTTGAGACACGAGCCCGCATAAACTTCAAGCCAGCAACAAACATCCCCAAGACCGCATCGAATGGCAGCAGCGCCTCATGCGCCGGCTGCGGCCACCGCGCGGAGCGCGAGGTCGGGACTGTGGGGGCACACGAAGTCTTCAACTTTAGAAGCAGCAGTTCTGACGGAGTTGAAAGAGCAGCGTCTGGTTGTACCAGGATGCGGGCAAGCGGTACAGACCCTGGCAGAGGCACAAGCGCTAGCCCCTTGCTGGCATTGTGCATCACTAAACTCTGAAAGCTTCAGGTAGCACGTCTCGTCAAAGGCAGGTCCATGGACTTGCAAGCCGAGGTGGCCTCCATCCGCGACGGAAGCCTTGAGCGTCAAGAGGTGCGCGCGAGTTTGCGATCGGGTGGTGCACATGGAACGTCCGAGACTGTAGCTGGACCTGATACGGACGTAAAGCAAGGAGACCTTGCTGTACCGGGACGTGCCGCTAGATGTACTTGCAGACTTTATGACGATGCAGTACGATCTTGTCTAGAGGTTGTCAAGGGATGCCTTTTCCAAAAGGGGTGAAGGTTAAGCTCAAGGCTAAGGCAAAGGGGGGTGGCAAATTTGAGCCGAAGAGTGGCCGGCCACTAGCGGTCGGCTGCTGCTGCAGGTCGAAATCTTACATATTCCTACACCCTCCTTTGTAGCACTTATTTGTGCTCTATGTTTTTTTCGCTCGTGATAAGAGGAAACCGTATCAAACGACCAAAAGCGCTCGAGTATAACAAAAAGCGCACGAGGCTAAACCGATTGTCCTAGATAAGCTCTAAGACAGCTCTGTTGGATTGTTTTGAAGTGGAGTCTTCCTGTTTGTTATGTTGAGGCTAGTACTTTAGTTTAGGGTTCAAGGTTTAGGGTTTAGGGTGTAGGGTTTAAGGTTTCGGGTTTAGGGTTTAGGGCTCGCACAAACATACATACTCGCATGTGCACCACCTGGACGACATCTCCACAGAGATGGGCTTCTTTTTTCGCCTGGGACTGAGCGGGTCGTCTGCATCAGCACCGATAGTGCTCTTTAAAGAGTCATCGATACTGCATCAAAACACGTGTCATGCTTCGTATTGCCACCAGTCGTGAGGATCCAATCCTTCTAGAGATTCTGCTAATCCGGCCCACCATATCTTCATCGCTCCATGTTGCAAAGCCTCGTCAACATTTGCATGGCTGTGGTTTGAAAGGTCGATAATAATTATTCGGATTGGATGCAGCTGAGGGACAAATAGCATTGAGGCAGTACTGTGGCAAGGATGTGTCGGCAGTTGCACATTGGATTTGTCTCTCCAAATTTCTCCTTAAGGGCTGTAAGGCCTCATTAAATTAAGAGTGGCTAGCACCGGTGATTGTCAATAATTATTTTGGGATGCTAAATATACCAAGTAGCAGAATATGGCCGAATAGATGAACTTTCGGTCGAATCTTATACAAAGCCCAGCCCCTTTGAGCAGTCCATCTTGCCATTCCAACATAGCCTTCCTCAGTCATCTTTAGATATCCTAGTACGAGCTAGAGCACCCCAACCGAAATCGACCACATAATATGTGGCCAGGCATCGAGAAAGTTCCATCCACATTGCACTGCTTCGCGTGCTGCGGACAAAGGTATCCAGACTCCATGCCCATATAAAATAGTCATGAGGTGGTTCCCTTCCGAAAGTACCCAAAGCAGCAGCTGCAAGCCTTCATTCATATCCTAGGTGCAAAGCATCCAGGCAACAATAAAAGACCTCGGGTACCCAACCAAAACAACAGCCTGTCGGTACCAACCGATTCTTGTGCATTCCAAAAGCATCACCCTGTTCTGCCTTGACGACAGCAAGCTTTGCAGCCAACCATTTCGCCAGCAAGGCAACATCATAGGCTTTTCCACAGCCGTGCGGAAACTGCTGCTGCCTGAGCTGGGCTATGGGGTTTAGGGCTTAGGGGTTTAAGGGCTTAGGGTTCGGGGTTTAGGGTTTAGGGGTTTAAGGGCTTAGGGTTCGGGGTTTAGGGGTTTAAGTGCTAAGGGTTTGGGGTTTAGGGTTCAGGGGTTTAAGGACTTAGGGTTTGGGGTTTAGGGTTCAGGGGTATAAGGGCTTAGGACTTGGATTGCAAGTATATTCTACATCCGGTTCGCGATTTATGTAGGGAACGTAGGCGGGGCTTAAGGTTCGGAGTTCGATAGATTTTGGCACATTAAACTGGAGCAGTGATGTTGCGATTCGATCTTGAAAGTCTTCAGACTGAAAGACTTCAAACTTGTTGTTCGGTGATTCTGCTCACACCAGAGGCGAAATTCCCCATATGCAGTCTCCAGCTTCTTGTCGATGGAGCCAGCATTGAAGCAGCCAAACCGGCAAAGAAGCAAAATCGATGAAGCACAAAGATCTTTGCCGAATCCTAGATTCATGCAGTGAAGTATATCTGGTTGAATCCGTACCGGGTCGTTCCCTCCAGGTATAGACCGTAATGGCGACACTTTTCGTTTGAACGGATTGGGGATAGGTCCAGAAAACGTACGAAGCTGCGATGTTGCACTGCAGTCCCACCAATCCTTATGATCAGATATAAAGCATATCTAGAGAGCATATCTAATAGAGCTGCTCGAATAGATTAGATGTATGTATCCTGCTTGGGCACGAGGACAACTTGCTAGGTGAATCCAAGTTTCGTCCCCGGGACACAAGTGGCATTTCCTCAAATTGGTAAATCCAACACCAAGATGAAATGCTTTTCTCACATACGGCCAGTCGCCCTTGGCAGCCACAAATGCCACCCAGAACGTCTTCGGAGTGCCTCCTACCTGAGGATGAACAGGGTTCTTAGTTTTGGAACTTATATCATGGAGCAGGATTTATAAAGCCAGGATTTAGGTTTAAGTGTTGTGATTTATATCAGCGAGCCTAAGTTAAATAGTACAGGAGCATGATATCACAAGTGGAACATCGGATCAAAATGATTTCTGTGTGATCAGCTTAGATACCTCTACGGTTACTCCTCGTTCGAAGAGCTGAATGAACTCAGCTGCGATTGCCTGGTGCAGTCCATCGATCGTTTTGTCGCCCGGGGCATAACAGGACCCCGGCATGATGGAATGCAGAAGCCTCGTACAGTAGGAGTGCCTTTGATGCTCGAGGAAATGCTCAACTGATGTGTCGTTTCTTGGTTTATACTAACCTACAGATAAGATATTGAAAAATGTTGAAGTAAGAATCTCGCAGGAGCCCATGCGTATTCAGGTGATCCTCGCCCAGCCAGGGCACCACACACTGAAAATTGGTGATGAGCACCGGTACTTTGGCCAAGCCCCTCCCCTCATCACCGTGTATGCACATGGGTATCGTTCGGGCTCGCTCCTCTGCTGTCTTCTTTACATAAATGTCGTGCGATTCATTGCTCGGACGAAGCCTCTCCCAGAACCTGCTGAAGACATCTTCAAAGCCAGTTTCCCAAGTATGATACCCAGCTAAGCAGAATTGACCACCAGCTGTGCCCAAAATGAACTCCAGCCAGTCAGTGAGGCGAAGAATGGGATAGTTCACATCCACACACCCACCCCCTTTCTTTCGAATTTTCAATGGTGTAGTGGAGATGGGAATCGGCAAAGTTTGACCTTCTCGATGAACGAACTTATGTAAATTCCGAGCAGCATTGTGGTAGTTGCCAGCCCCCAAGCGGCCGATCCGGTCGATTTCAGGGTCGATGACACCTGTTGGGCACGGCTGGGTATCAACCCTGGGAATCGTGATTTAGGTTGGGTATTAGGCCTTATGCGTAGATTCGTAGATGTTGTCTGGGGAGTTTCAAGCTTCGGATGAAGAGTAGTGGTCTTGTGGAACTGATCATACCTGTTGTCTTCGAGAGCTGGGTTTCGGGTACTTTCGAGAGCTGGGTTTCGGGTACTTAGGCTTAGCTTCGGCTCGGGGTGTTAGTGCTTTAAGGTTAGCTTGATTTTGGAGTTTCGGGCTTGGGGCTGGTAGTTAATTGTGCTGGGTCTATTTAGGTTGCTCCAGCCTAGCTTCTTCATTCGTTTGGCAGCGATAGCAGCCATCCGGACCACAGATCTGGCGTCTGCCTTATTATGTTGCGACCATAACATCATGCATCTGAATGAGGCCATTAGCTAGATTAAATCAAGGAGCTCCTCGCTCCATGTTAATCATCAAAGCATCGGCAAGGTCATCACTGGATTCCGAATCAGATCCTTAGCGAAGAAGCCGGGGCTTTATGGGTATGATCCAGACCTGAGCGAATGAGGCCTGGACCCTTGGGCGAATCTGCTTCTGCTGGCGGTGCGAGGCCTGCGTGGGGCTATTGCTTGGGGTCATACAATTATATGCAAGCATAGATAAATTTAGCTGGCTACTTTGGCTTCAACATCACAACAAGCAGAGCGGTTTTCAGCAGCCGTAGCGTCACGATTCGAGGAAGCTCGAGACATTCTTGCGAGCTCTGACCCCTTAAATTTTGCCTTGCCAGACATATGGGTGCAAAGAGTGCTAATGCTTTTAGGGTTTAGGGTTTAGGGTAGGACTAGGGCTAGCTAAGTCTTAGCTATAGTGTTACACCATTAGACTGCAAGGCTTCCACCTGTGCAATTCACCAAACGATTGCACTAGCAAAATGCTGGGGCGGATGCCCGGACTCAGTGTCGCTTCTTCTTGCTCGGCTTGCGATCGTCGCCAGCAGACCTTTTGCTTGCAGGCTTCGAGTCCTCATGGGTTTTCTTCTCGGCCTTCGCCTTTGGCGTGGGGGCCTTCTTCGGCGATTTTTTTTCCCACCCTTCTTACGGCCCGATTTTCCCCTTCGGCTCGACGGTGTCGTCGATCCCCCAAGATGGCTGCTGCTCGGTCGGAAGCTCCTAAGCTTGTTCATGGACACCCATGCATACTGACAGACAGATGGACAAAGACACCCACACACCCACACACCCACACACCCACACAGACACAAACACACACACACACACATATATATATATATATACACACCAACACCAACACCAACACCAACACCCACACCAACACAATAAATGCACAGCGAGATTCCGGGCCCTGGAAATATAGTTGTTCAAGGTTACATCTGTCTTCGTGCACGTCACGAATGCATTCAGGATCTCCGTCTTGAGCTGCGGGGTTTTCCTGGGTTTAGGGTTTGGAGGTTTAGGGATTGGGGTTTAGGGTTTTGTGTTTAGGGTTCGGGCGGGCAACAGAAAATTGGATCCGGGAATCGAGCCATCCAGGTCTCCCACAGCTTCAGCCTCCTTCTCTGTCAAGGTTTTGTAAAGACCATTCATCTGATCCAAGAGGGTCTGCATATGGGTAGCAATCCTGGGCTATGACACATGTACGATAGTCCTCAAACAATCTAATGACGAACCACAGAACCCGGAATCGAGACCAGCTGCTCCGTTGCCCGTGGGTAGTTCATCTTCTTCAGCTTCTCCTAATGCAAGCAGCTAAGTCAGCTAAGTACTAGTTATGTGCATCTCGTGGGTTTTCGATGTAGGAACTAGTTACAGCACACTATGTCCTGCTCGAGACATCCATTCTCGATCTTCTTTGCCAAGATCCCCAGAAAGCTTGGGAGGGTCGTGAGAGGGTTGTCGTTCTTTCGGAGCGTCGGGAACACATGCCTGGGCCAAAAACACATTGAGTATCCCAACGGAATTACTGAGCGAAATCCACAAACTTCTAAACCCCTCACCCCGAAACCTTGCAGGGCGAACGACCTGCTCTTGGATGCGGGGAGGCCATCCGAAGGCTTGTGCTCGGTTTCCTCGGCTTCGGCACCGGGAACATCATCGTCCAAGATGTAGCCGTCTTCATCCTGGGTTTAGGGGTTTTCGGTTTCGGGTTTAGGGGTTTAGGGTTTAAGGTTTAGGGGCTTAGGGTTTATAGGGTTTAGGGTAAGGGTTTAGGGTGTAGGGTTTAAGGTTTACGGGTTTAGGGGTTTAGAGGTTTAGGGCTTATAGGGTTTATAGGGTTTTGGGGTTTAGGGTGTAGGGTTTAGGGGGAGCGAATGTGGCAATTAGACTTCGGGGGACAATTGTTGTTGGGATAATGGGGCCTCGACTTCGGCTTCGGCCGACAGAGACTTCTTGGTTCCTCGTTCGGTGCGGTTCACAAACTTCTCTTCGATGACCAATTTGGCCTCTTCGGTTTTATGCACTTCGTTCGTTCTCAGCCTGCCTTTGCTGGCTGCCCAGGCAAAGCTGTTGTCGGCCATTTGCCTCGGATATGGGTTCGGATAAGGCGGATTAGGGTCGGGGTTCAGGGTCTAGACTAATTTAATATGATACAGCTGCTAAAGTATCCGAATATATATTATGAAGGCAGGAAAGTCACTTCGTGTAATGGCACTTTTCCATCAAGTACTGCTTCGTAACCCACATAGCATTGCTTTCGGCAGACTGCTGGTTCAGCACATACTTCTGCACTAGGAGATCGATCTTCTTGAAGTCCGAGTGTTTCTCGAAAAGCTCGCGGAGCTTCTTTCCTCGGAACATTATATTCTAGCTAGAGATAACTTATCGAAGTTTTTGAGGGAGGAACACAACACAACACAACCGAGCTAAATGTCATCTAGGAACTCCCATCCTCAGTGGCATAGAGACTCAAGGCTTCCTTGGAGGCCTTCACCGGCCCACCATTCGTGGGCTTGAAGACTCGTCTCATCCTGGGATTGGGTCTGAGGGCTTTTCAGTTTTAGGGTGTAGGGTTTTAGGGTTAAGGGTTTATCATTCTTAGGTTTGGGGTCTAGGGTTATTGGGGCTTAGGGTTTGTGGAGTTTAAAGTTTCTAGGCTTTAAGGGTTTAGGGCTTCAGGTCGTTCAGGCCTTGGGGCTTAGGGTGTTTAAGGGTTGGGGTTTTAAGGTTTGTGGAGTTGAGAGTTTAGGGTCTTGTGTGCCGTGGCTCCGGTAGTAGGTCTTGTCGAACTTTTCACGGCTGTACTTCTTCGGCTTCAAGGCCTTGTGGCTTCGAGGAGAGAGGGTCTTCTTAGAGCGAGGGGAAGGGGTCGTGTTCGTGCTCGTGTTCGTGGTCGTGTTCGTGGTGGCAGTTGCTGGAGAGTAACCCAAAGGAACCGACGACTCCCCATCCGACTTCTGGTGCCGGCCAGGAGAGTCCTTGGTCTCTGCTGCCGACGGAGGCCTCTCTAGTGGGGTGTCGGGCAATGTCTCGCAATACCTCCAAGCACTATCGAAGCTGGATCCTCGAGCAGGAAACTTGGGGGCTGCTTGCTTCGGGTTCTCAGCTGGTGCTGCTGCGAGAGCTTCGGGTCTTGCTGCGGGTTGCTTCGGCTTCACGGGTGGTGCTCCTGGGGAAACTTTCGGGGCTGCTGCTGCTTGCTTCGGGTCCACACTAGGTGCTCCTGGGGAAACTTTCGGGGCTGCTGCTTCTTGCTTCGGGTCCACGATAGGTGCTCCTGCGGAAACTTTCGGGGCTGCTGCTGCTGCCTTGGGGTCCACAAGAGGTGCTCCTCTAGAAAGTTTCGGGGCTGCTGCTGCTGCCTTCGGGTCCACAACAGGTGCTCCTGTAGAAACTTTCGGGGCAGCGACTGCGGGAACTTGGGAACCAGAGGGTGGTGGAGGTGCTCCACGATGAATCGCCGAACCTGACCAACATAGGGGCCCGAACACAAAGCCTATGGAACTTCGCTTTGACATTCTGACACCACAAGCCCAAAGCACCTCGAGCCGGAGGTGCCGATGCTGCTCTGCCGACCTTGCTCTGCAAGGCTGCGATCCGTCGGCGGGTCGCCTCAGACGGGCCACTCGTGGGCTTAGGGTTTAGGAGCATAAGGCTTCTTAGGATTAAGGGTTCAGGGAGTCTAGGGTTTAGTAGGGATTAGGGTTTGGGGTTAAGGAAATAACCTCGGCTAGAGGTAAGGGTTCGTTATGTGCCAAAGCCGGGTTTAGGATTCTATAGGGATATAGTACTTTAGTTCAGTCCTCCCCCCCAACCCCGACATCAAAAAGATGGATGAAGTGCAAATCTTGGCACCTGGTCCTATGCTCACTCTACATCTATAGTCTATAGTACATTAATACATCAGTATCTATCTATCTATCTATCTATCTATCTCGATATCTATATATATATATATATCGAGATAGATAGATAGATAGATAGATACATAGATAGCTAGTTAGATAGTATATAGATACATATGTACATAGAGCACCCTAGCTATGTATGTATATATAGAGATAGTACAAGAGGGGCTAGATAAATGTTAAGTAATCCTAAAGTCCCAAAAGGAGGACACCTAGATAACCAAAACCAAGACTGTGCAATCCAGTTGCTTCGATGTGTTCTTCCAAGCTCTGCTTGTCCATCATGAGAATGCCCGACTAGGAATAAAGGTCTAGTGGTTTTCGAGCACTCAAAACCTGGATTGGAAAGATGATCGAGCACACACTGCATGGCTTCAAAAAGTGGCCTGGCTGCTCAATAAACGCCCGACAGAGCTCAACCGGGAGCGATGTGCAAAAGCTCACGATACATTTTTTTAATTTGCGCCTGTTTGCGGTTATTGGTGGGAATTTGCGCCCAATTGGCGCTGAATTGCGCTACGTGTTTTTTTGCTTCAGAACCAGAAGATCGAATCAAAAGTCCAAAAAACGCTCTAAAAGCGTTCGGCTGCCAAAAACCCTTTCCAAGTCCTGAGTGGCACCAAAACTCACCACCGGGAGAGCTGCACCAAGTCCTGAGCATTTTTGGGCTGGGTTCAGGGTTTCCTCTTGTGGCAAGAGGACGGGGCCTGGCTGCCGGCTCGGGGTTCCTATCCTGGGGCCAGGGGATTCCTATTCTAGCAAAGAGGACGGGCCTGGGGCCCGGCTGGGGTTCGTGGCTCGTGGCCCCCTATTTTCCTTATTACAAAGGGTCTAGATGCTGGTGTTTGGGGCTCGGGGCTCCTATTCTTTTTAGGGGGACTCCTAACCTACGAAGAGGCCTGGGCTGGGGTCCGGGTTTCCTATTCATTCGGGATAGAGTTCCTGTACATAGGAACTATATAAGGTTGGCCTGGTCTCGTATGGAGTGTGCCTGGTAGGGGTTTGGGTTGGGCTGCAAAAATTGTATGGTTCCTAGAGGACTAGGCAGTCTGGGTTTGTGGATGGGTTAATTTTTGAAGGTTCAGATTTGTTGCAGCTATATAGTGTATATATATCTTTACACATGTAGTATAATATGTGCATATATATATATACACACAGTACGGTATATTATGTAATTATACATATTCCATATTCTATTTATCTATCTATCCATCTATATACTATGTATGTATATATATATATACACAAGTATATCTTTACACATATCGTATATATACACATACAATATTAGGATTGGGCTTCGGACCCAAATCGCACGATACGTGCCTGGGGCCCTGGGGCTAGCTCCTGCTGACTACACGAGGACGAGGGTTTAGTTAATTGTTTGGGGTTGGTTGGTTGCTTGAGAAGATTTCATTTTCGGTGGGATTGTGGTATGCTGGCTTAAAGGGTGGAGGTTTTGACGAAAAGAATAAGTTTTCTGCCTGAAGTCAGATCTTCCCTAAAGCACAAGATGTGCTTCAGATTGGGGTTTAGGGTTTAGGGGTTTAGGGTTTAGGAGTTTAGGGTTTATAGGATCTAGGCTTCAGGCTTGCCACAGAACCCTCTTGTCAAATCTCAGATACAGACTACAGCCACCAAATAACCTTCGGCCCCAAACCCCGACTAAACATCGCCCGTAGGATTTGACGATTGCTCTCATAGACAAAGCCTTCTGATTGGAGGACAAGACAAACCAAAGGGTTTAATTTTCTAGGTATATATTATGTAACATCTAGCTATTTAGAATATATATATAGAACTAAGTACCATATGTGTAGGTGTATGTGTGTATATATATATAGAGGTCTAATCTATATGTCGCCTATAACTATATGTCGACTATAACCATCCCTATCCATCAATTATATATGATTAACCCTAAACCCTAAACCCCTAAACCCTAAACCCTAAATCTAGAGGCCCCCGACCTCGCCAAGCATCCTTTTGTGAAAAGGCGAACACCAGCCAAGCGAGGTCACCTGCAGTGCGAGAAACCTACTAAAACCCAAGCCCCGTAGAAACTAGAAGCTAGGAGCCCTTGACCCCAAAGCAGTTCGGTGAAACATTCGCAACGACAGATCCTAGAAGCCCTGCAAAGCCTGAAATCCTCAAATCCTGGAAACAACCTCCGACTTCAAACCTGAAAGGAACCCGGAGCTTCGATGTTCGAAGAGGCATCACTTGGGCAGGTTTCTTTAAAGATGATCCTGTGATGGGTGCAGACAAGTGGCTGTACCTCACCATAAGACCCGAAAGTGGATGCCAGCAGTAGTAAACATATCGGTGAGGTTGGTCTGAATGCGATCCACTCTAGCGAACAGTGACCGGTACAAGGAGGCATGTTTGTCCAGAACGACGGTACCCTGGTCCAGCCTTTCCTCGATAGACCTTAGCCTAGCATGTATCCGGGCCACTTCGGTCCGAACAGCAGAGCACTCAGCACGAAGCTCGGCAACCTCCTCGTGTAGCCGATGAACTTCCGAGCTCACAGCAGCGACTCTAGACCATTCCATGAACGATTTGGCGAATTTGGCGTGAGGATGTTCGGGCTGTCGCTAGTGCATGCAGAGATTAGGGTTTGGGAGTTTTCAGGTTTGAGGGTTTATTCTGGGCTTAGTCCCTGTGCAGACTCTGGGGGCTCGAGCACTTGGTTTTCGGGCACCGGCGAAAGGCCTGCATTCTCACACAGCAGTTACATCGCTCTCAAAGGATCGATGAGCCCCATAGGTTTAGGGTTAAGGGTTATTTTGGTGTATGGCCTAGGATGCATTAGCCGGGGTCTGGATTCTAGATCCATCGTAGCTTCTCGCTTGGCAGCCTCGATGCAATCATCATCGCCTACCATCATGCTGCATCAGTCATCACCACACATGAACATCCACAAAAAGTGCATGTCATCTAGATAACCATTAGTTATCTTCGTTCCCTCCTAAATATTTATTGAGGAGAGCACGGGTACAATAGCAGAACCCAGACCCTAACCGTCACCGGCAAAGTCATCATCCTCATCATCTTCTTATCATCACGAACAGCATCATGAATATCATCATCTTGCATCCTCACATTAACAAGTTTTAGGGTTTAGGGTTTAGGCTGCAAAAGGGTTGGGGTGTAGCTGACCCTCTACT